TGGTGGGAGATGTGCTGTCTCCTCCCTGCACAGCGCAGTGCGGAAACCGTGGTGGGAGATGTGCTGTCTCCTCCCTGCACAGCCGCAGTGCAGAAACCGTGGTGGGAGATGTGCTGTCTCCTCTCTCTGCCTCGTGCCTCCTGCAGCCGTTGGATTTGGGAATTATCTTGGTGAGAGTCTCACTGACCCTGGATCTCTTTTTGGTTCACGGCAAGGCCTCTGGACTATAGAGTTGGACCACTTTTTTTTCCCAGTGAAATGATTTTTTAATAAAAAAATAGTAATAAAATTCCATCATATACAAAGGTTTCATAGTAAAATCACTAATAATATCGTACTAGGAACCATAGAGTCACAAGATGGCAGGATAAAAATTAAAGAGATAAAAATTTAAAAAGCAAACAAGTCTATTTTCAGAAAACTGTTCTTCAAAGACAATAGAGATATCAAGACATTTCTATCTTTAAAAAATAATTATCCAGAGTTTGTCATTAATAGATCGTCTCTGCCATACATGATAAAGGCTATCTTTCTGGCTAAAATAAAAGGCCACACTATAAAATAACAAGGTGATATTAAAAAGTAATACCTGTAAAAGTAAACATGTAAAAAAAAGCCATCATTAAAATGTTGTTATTTTATAACTTATCTTTTAAAATTCTTGGCATATGATTCAGAAGACTAATGCAGAAAAGTATTTATGAATCTGTGTTAATTTCAGGCAATGCATAATTACATAAGATGGAAATACATAAGTTGTAGAAACAAATTTGTATGGAATCAATTGTTTTAATAAATCCAAATTTCAAATGCTATTAATTTTTTTATGCATGGTCATATATTCAATAGATAAGTTATAAATCCCTAATCACTGAAACAAAAAGAGTCAAAAAAAGAAATTTAGAAGAGAATTAAAACTGTAGAATAGAAAAATATCAATACAATAAAAAGGTTAGTAATAAATAGAATAGATTTGAAGAAGATATACAAAAACTAAGTAGCAAAATGGTAGAACTCCATCTTCTGTAAATATTTCAAATAGAAATAAATCACACTGACAATTACAGTGCAAACATTGGCAAAATAGTTTAAAAAAGAAATATAATTCAACTTTATGTTATCTGCAAGAGACTCTCATTAGTTGTTCTCTTAGGTTGTAAGTAAAGGAATTCCTAAACATACTTTAGACAAATAGCTACCTAAAGAGCTGGGTGGCAAAATATATGTTAAGACAAAAATCTTACAAGTGACAAAGGAGAACATCATATATTGAAGAAATGTGAACCTATCAATAAGATAACAATTGTAAATGTGTATGTACCTAACAAAGATCCCACAATATAAAACAAAAAAAGATACTAATGACAGAAGTAGAAAGTTATACAGACTTGCTGACCTAAATATACCAATTTGCTGACCTAAATATACTAAACAGACCTAGCAATCAAATACAAGAACTTTATTTTACATTACTTGTAAAAGAAATTAATTTGGTTTTGGATTCTCTGAGTTGGTTTTCAGATATTAATTTAGCAATCTTATTATATGGAATGGTTATTTCTTGAAATACATTGTTTTAAAGTTTGCATAATCATATTCAATTCAATGTTTCTAGCATATTTTTTATTATAAAACCAAAAAAGTGTGATTTAAAATGATCACCACTTTCATTAATAGACAATCATGAATCTGTTTCTACTGATTTGTCTTTTATTAATTTTTTAAAAACTGCATTATTGTGGTATAATTAACATTTTCTACCTATGCAGTGGTACATTCTGTCACATTTCAATGTGATTTTCTTCACTTACCATGATGTATTTGAGACAGATTATTCTTCTTCTTCTCATGTATTGGGAAATGTATTTAGTAGAGAAAAACAAAAGAAATCTATGTTGCAATGCATTTCTGCACTTTTTTAAAAAATATTAACTCAACTATTAGAAAAAATGCTTATTAAGAATTAAGAATAATATAACTGACTGGGCATGGTGGCACATGCCTGTTATCCCAGCAATTTGGGAAGCTAAGACAGGTGGATCACTTGAGGCAAAGAATTTGAGAACAGCCTAGCAAACATAGTGAATGCCATTTCTATCAAAAATACAAAAATTAGCTGGCATGGTACCATGTGCCTGTAATCCCATCTATTCAGTAGGCTGACACATGAGAATCTTTTGAAACCAGGAGGCGCTTCTTGACATGAATCAAGGTCACACTACTACACTACAGCCTGGGTGAGAAAGTAAAAGTGTCTGAAAAAAAAAGGAGAAAGAAGAAAGAAAGAAAGAAAGGAAAGAAATAAAGAGAAAAAAGAAAGAAGAAAGAAAGAGAAAAGGAAAGAGAGAGAGAGAAAGAAAAGAAAAG